GAGAAGGACATGTTGGTTTCATTCAAAGAACTTTTTTCCCATCAATCCAGGCCCGCTTCCTGACTGAGAGGGAGGATATGGGTTAGACAGAGAAAGGGAGTAACCCTGGGATGGTTCGCAGGCAAGCCCCTGGGGAAGGAGGAGCATGGGGAGGCTGGGGTGCTCTTTGTGCTGGAGGCAGTAGGTCTGGACGTGCTGTAGCTAGTGCTGGATGTGAGACAGGTGGCGTGGGAGTGTGGCCCCACTGAGGCTCTGGCTCGGGGGCTGTGTGCTTACAGAACCAGTCTTCAGTATGGCATCATGTGTCTGAAGAGGCTGAATTATGACCGGAAGGAGCTGGAGAAGAGGCGAGAGGAGAGCCAGCACGAGATCAAGGGTAAGCTCGTCAGGCTTGGAGAGGGTGCAGGAGTAGCCTGCTTGGCTGGTCCCTGCCTTGGGCCAACTGGAGGGGAGGCATTCTGTCTCTCAGGGAATCTTCCAGTCTGACAAGGAAGATGCAGCCTCACCTTAGGGAGCTCCCAGTCTGATGGAGGAGACATGGTCCATGCCAAGTTGGCTATAATCCCCTCCCTCCACCCCACATACCAGACTGCAGCCACTAACTGGACAAATGCAATGAATCCTCTGGGACGGTGTTATAGACTGGTGTGCTTGTGGAACTTGGTGATCTGGATGGGGTTGGATGGGAGATGCAAATCTTAGAGAAGACCTTGAAGGTGGAAAGAATATGAAGACTATTCCAGCTTGTGGCAGGGGGATGGCCCGTGCAAGGGCTCTGGGGAGAAAGCTCAGAGCCTGTTGGCCTGACCCCAGGTCCTGTAAACTGGCAGGGATGAAATGAGTGGGGGGTTGGTTCCCCAGGAGTCCAGGTTCCAGGGAGGACAGAAAGAAGATACAGAAAGTTGGGGATGGGGTGGGGGCCAGAGAGCAGGGTGGACTGGGGCTCTGGGTTTAGGGAGTTCTGCTTCTGTCCTTGGAGGGTCCTTGATGAAGCGTAGTATCTTCTTCCATCCCTTTTCTTCCCCCACACTCCAGATGTGCTAGTCTGGACCAACGACCAGGTGGTTCATTGGGTTCAGTCTATTGGGCTCCGGGATTATGCCGGAAACCTGCATGAGAGTGGTGTGCATGGAGCCTTGCTGGCCCTGGACGAGAACTTCGACCACAACACACTGGCCCTGATCCTTCAGATCCCCACACAGAACACCCAGGTGGGTAGCCTTTTAATCAGTCAACCTTAGTCTCTCCCTGTCTCCCTTACTTGCTCTCTTTCTTTCCCTCATACACAAAGGCTTAGGTATCTTGGGGTTGGGGAGCTTTTCTAGGGCCTGTGCCAGAGGGGATTGCAATGTCCTCAATCCTCCTCTAAGTGGTCCCCTGTGCATAAGCAAGCCCTCATGGGAACACATGGTCTTCACATACAGGGCACACCTAGCACGGGCCTGGCACACAGTGTGCTCTTACAATGCACATCCCCATCCTGCCCTGGGTACCTCCATCTCCTCCTAACCCCACTTCATAGCTGAGACGCTGAGCCTTCCTTTTCATCCTGCTTCTCTGATCTGACTTTTCTTAGAGGGGAATGAGCCCCATGGCCCGAAGGGACCAGAGAGCCCATATCACCTTTGTCTACCACCCTAGGGATCTGCTCCTGGGCCCCCAGGCTTAAAAAAGCGAAATATACCAAATTACACAGCCCAGAGCCTCTCCATGCCTGGGCTTTGGCTCTCTGTCAACAGCTCAAATGATTAAACATCTCATGAAATTACGTTTCATCATTTTTATGGAGCTGTCATCTAAGAATATATCTAAATTTTCTTGAACCTATTTATATTTTTGGCCTTTCTAACTTCCTGTGGGTAATAGATTCTAGAAGTGCTGCTTGTTGTGTGGAGTACTTCCTGATTTTATTTGTCCTAAGAATGCCCCTGTCAGGCCCCTGGGGAAGGAACTACCTCCTCCTAATAGTTTAGGTTTGGTAAGGCTATTTGTATTTAACCAGTTCTCACCTTTTATAATTTCATAAACTCTGATTGTATTGCCTCTGGGCCCAAGCCTTTGTCTCTCCAGACAGAGTGTTCTTAATTCTTTTAGGCTTTCCTCATATAGACTTGCCTCTGTCCCCTGATTGTTTTAGCTGCCCTTGTCTGGACTGTTTGCAGCTGTCAGATCTCTTTTGAAATTCAGCCACCAGAGCTGCACAGGCTATTCTGGGAGCAGACACGTTTTGGCTCGAGTGCGGGTAGGGCTGTGTTGTCTCGTAATTCTGGGCAGTGTGTTGGCCTTTTAGGGGTGGTGGCAGTGTACAGGGCCAGTGTGTCCTGTAGGCATTCTGCAGTGACCTCCCACCCCCACCCCAGCCAGTCAAAACGGATAGGACAGATCCCTTCATTCTCCAAGAGAAGCCTGGATTTCTCCCCAAGTGCAGTTTTCTCCACTTGCCCACTTTGGACAAGCCTCATCTGCCACTTTCCTACCCACTCACATTGCTTTGTGAGATGCTTCTGAAATGTACACCTGTCCTCCTCACCTTTCACTGCCCAGAGGAGCAGTGTCATTTGGATACTTGAAATTTACTATGCTTCTCCTTTCAGATCATTTCTAAAAATGTTATGTTCCCAATACTGGCCCAGACTGTCCTTATGGAACTCTATGCGTAATATTTTCTACCCAGAAATGGACTTTTCTCTTTCTTTGATTTCCTATCTCAAATGCATTCAGTTTTGGAGGAAAGCAATAATTCTGTAAATAGCAGCAGGGACACCTCTCCGTGGCTTTCTAACCTTTCTTAATTTCCTGACCCAGTCATTGAGCTGTCGGAAGAAGTAGTGTCTGACCCAATATGGAATCCCTCATTTAAAATGGTTAAAAATGGCTCGATGTGGTAGCTTAGGCCTGTATGCTCAGTATTTTGGGAGGTCAAGGTGGGAGGATTGCTTGAGGTCAGGAGTTCAAGACCAGTCTGGGCAACATAGCGAGACCCAGTCTCTACAAAAAGTTTAAAAAATTAACTGAGTTTGGTAATGCATGACTGTAGTCCCAATTACTGGGGAGGCTGTGGTGGGAATTTTGCTTGAGCCCAGGAGTTTAAGGCTGCAGTGAGCCATGATTGTGCCACTGCACTCCAGCCTGGGCAACAGAATGAGACACTGTCTCACTCAAAAAAAAAAAAAAAAAAAAAAAAAAAGGTCTGGTAGCAGTTTTGAAAACTTTTCTGTTTCTGGCATTTCTGAAAACTGTGAATGAATTAATCTCCTGGGAGGCCTAAAGAAAGTCTGTATGTACACAGCCCAGGGACAACCAATATCCATAGCTGAGCAGGCTTCCTAATTTTAAGTTTTTGATGTGAAAACTTATCAGATATATTTATTTAATCCAAATCAGTCACATTCTGGTTATCCATGGTTTACATGCTTACGTACCCCTCCAGAAAGACAGGCACGATTTTCCCCTTTCAGACAATTTTTTTTTTTTTCCAACTAGGTGAAGTCTCTTTATCTATGTGTTCTATGATCCTACTTATTTTTTTCTTAGAGACAGGGTCCTGTTCTATCACCCAATCTGGAGTGCAGGTGTGATCATAGCTCCCTGCAGCCTCAGACTGGTGGTCTCAAGCTATCCTCCTGCCCAACCGGTATCTGGGACTGTAGGTGTTCACAACCACACCCATTTAATGAAATCTTTTTTTTTTTTTTTTTTGAGACAGGGTCTCACTATGTTGCCAAGGCTGCTACTTTTTTAAAAAAATTATGTTTTTCTAATTTGCTGTATATGAAAGAATCCTAGGCTTACAGCTTTACTTATGAGTTTGCTTGAAGGAGCAGCTTCAGAAAGGTGTGTAAAGGCCTCTAACAGGCTAAATGCACTGAAGCCTTGTATCTCTGCCCTTGGACCCTAGGAAAATGGTGAAAGATGGCATAAAGGTAGTTAACTGTAGCCCTTCCCACCTTTCCCTCTCCTGCTCTATGGACTCCAGGCACGCCAGGTGATGGAAAGAGAGTTCAATAACCTGTTGGCCTTGGGCACAGACCGGAAGCTGGATGACGTGAGTACCTGGCCATGAATTAGGAACCTTGGGGATTTGGTCATCTTAATTGGATTGAAGTTCATGAGTTCTGCCTTCCCTGGGCTAATTGTTGGAAGGCTAGTCTAAGGGAGGAGAGCCAGAGGGGATGGGGATGATGAATGTCAGGGGGTTGAGGAAATGGACCAGCCCTAGAAGAACTTGTCTGGGGTAGTAATAGGTTGTGGAGAAGTCTCTGTGAAACTCCTGTGCAAAAGCTGAAGGCCCATGTGCTGTACTTCCATCATCTTCTAATTCTATGCCCTGCCTTCCTATCCACATAGGATCAAAGATTTTCCCCAAGGGCCATATCTTTGGGATCACACCTTTTTCTTGATGTCTCAGACCGTATTTCTTCAGTGCTGAGCTCAGCACACCTCCAGCCTACTCAGTAAGATTCCAGCCCATCCTTCAGGAGTGTGGGTGTGTGGAGGCAGATCCCTGCTGAGGTTGTTAAATTACAGGTTTGCTCTCCTGCTCACCAGTGCAGTCTGCACAGCTAAACACACGCTTAGGCTTTTACCATCCCAGGTTTCCCTAGTTTCACCCTCTGGTCTACCTTCACACCAAGTTAAAGTTTTCCTCTCTCCACCCTCCTGGTCACTGAAGGAACAGTCCCTTGCACTTGATTTCATCAGGCCTTCCCCTTGAGTTGAGGGCATTCTGAGCTATGGTCCTCTTTGAGATGCCAACCTAAGCATCCTGCTGTTTTGTTTTGTTTTGCACTGGTTTGCTGAGGTCATAGCCCCTCCTTGGCCCCCGTCTCCTCTTCCTTCCTTCTTCCTCCCTCCTCACTTTCCTATCACTGCCCTTGCCTGTCAGGTCTGCCCTAGTTGATTTGGTTCCAAACAAGTTAAAAGAAAGCCCAGAGTGTTTTTCGCTGCTCCGTCTTCAGTCAGATCACTGTTTCTTAGTAGGGTTTAAAACAGGGCTAAAATCCACCTTTGTAGAAGGATTGCTCTGCCTCAGGGAGACACAGGGTATTCTCAGGAATTTTTGTGGAAGTGTTTTCTTCACAGAGGTACCTTGAAGTTTGGGAGAAAAAAATATTTCTATAAGTATTTGTTTTGGTCATTTGGATACCTTAAAGGGCATAAACTGGCAGCCCCCCCACCCCAACCCAGAGCTATTGCAACTCTTGAGAGATCTCTGTTTTCCTAATGCCCCTGTGGTATTAACCCTCCCACTAATTCCACGTGCACTTAGGATCTCTGCTTTCTTTGTTGCTGTCTGGAGAAATGACTCCCATATATTTATTAGTGTGGTGCTGTCTAATTTAGAAGCTATGTAGTCCTTCAATCCTTACAAAAATATTTTGAATGCCTGCCCTGTGCCAGGTATTGTGCCAGGCATGGTGGTTAGTGATGACGATGTCTCACTTTATGGTAATGATCACCACATGAGATAGGTTATGGTGCCCATCTTACGGATGAGGAAATTGAAGCTCAAAGAGGGAACTTATCTGCTGTGGCAGAGCAGGACCAGAACAGATGCGAGTCTGATTTCTGAGCTCTTCCCCCTTGTTCCACTTCCTCTGGGAAGCTTGTGGAGCTATCTGACCTATCAGGCCCCAGACACTTGGGTGGAGTTATTGATTAGACATTGGGGTGTACATAGAGCTGTGCAGTGGAGTTTTTGGGACTGCAACTAGGTGTGGGCTAGAGAGGATGGTTTTTGTGGGAAGCGTAGAGTAGAAGCCAGGTCCTGGGAATAAGGTAAGATTTGGGGGTGAGGGGAGGGTCTGGGGTCCAAGGAGACTGCTTCCTGTCCGGCTCTCTAGCACATCATCAGCAACCTTGAGCTGTCTCTTGCAACCACACCCTCTGCCGATTTTGGTTCTTAGTGTCCCTTCTGAAGCTTCAAGGCTCTTAAGGGCGGTATCCAGTTCTCCCTGTACATGGAGATGAGGACTGAAGGGAAAAATAAGGAAGAGGGGAGCGGGAAGGAGTAACATCTGACGATTAGGGGACAGGGGAAGAATGCAGAAACAGGTCCTTAGGGTTGGCTGAAGGTGGAAATGGAGACAAGGGGAAGGCGGGAGAGAGAAAAGAGGCTCTGGGCTAGGGTAAGAGCAGGATCATGGGGAGGATAGCAGTGACAAGGCAAGTTCCCGACAAACTCAGGAATGGGACTCCTGCATAAAGAGCCAGCTGCCACCTATTCATTTAATGAATATTTATTGAGTACCTAATGTGATCCCGGGCACTGCTCAGAGGTTGGAGATACGTTGGTTGGAACAAAAAAGATTATGGTTTCTGCCCCGTGGAGCATAGAATTTGAGAGGGAGAAAGAGTGAGAGAGAAAGTGAAAGGTATGGAGGTAGGGAGAAAGGAAGGAGGTGGGAAAAGGAGGAGGAAAGAGATGCAGTCATGCATGGCTTAATGATGCTTAGCCACGGGGATAAGTTCTGAGAAATGCATCATTAGGCAATTTGATCACTGTGTGAACATCATAGAATGTACTTACACAAACCTAGGTGGTATAGCCTATTGCACACCTTGGCTGTATGGTATAGCCTGTTGCTCTTAGGCTACAAACCTATGCAACTTGTTACTGTATTGAATACTGCTGGCATTTGTAAGTATTTGTATATCTAAACATAGAAAAGGGACAGTAAAAGTATTATAATCTTATGGGACCACCAGTGTCTATGCCGTCCATCACTGACTGAAACATTATGTGGTGGTGCATGACTGTATTAATGAAATAATCTCATAAATACATATAAAAGTGCTACTAGGATGAGTGCTGTGACAGAGAGGTACATGGTGCTGAGAATTTATCAGAGCATTTGACCCACTCAGGGCACGTACAACAAACCCTAGGGGGTCAGGGCTGGGAGGGGTTGTTGAGGCAAGAACAGGCGGGTGAATGTCCATTGTTCCTGCTAGTCCCACTTTGCCTGCATCAGCTCCGAGAACATGGGGTGGAGGGAGATTGGGCATGACTTCCAAGCAGGGTGATGGAGGCTCTAAGTGTGGGGTGCGGAGGCCTGTGCAGAGGGGGATCCTGTAGGGTTGGGGTCCTGGGTGCCCTGCGGCAGAGATGGTTATTTTGGAGACATGGCTGGCATAGGTGAGGGGGGGCAGATGGCAGGAGGGCTGCCTGCCATGTCCTTTGGAGGAGCCTGCGTCTGCTTGGTGGTCTGCCTGACCCATCCCTGTTACAGGGTGATCTCATCTGATCTCATTAGTGTTAGGCAACCTGAGAAACAGGTCGGGCAGATGTTACTATTATCATTTTACCGATGAGGAAACAGACTCAGAGGGTCACTCACCTGGTACAGGGTCACATAGCCAGTAAAATGGCAGAGCCAGGTGTCTGACTCCCGCCAGACACAGTACTCTTCCGGCATACTGGGCTACAGCCATTCGGAGGCCCCAGAAGGACAGGACGGTGTATATAGGGACTGGCTGTCACCTCCCATGGGCTGAGGCTGAGGAATGCCTTGAAAGGTGAATGGTCATGCCAAGCCCACTTTGAGAAGATTGTGGTGGACTGGGAAACAGTTCAACTGCAGGATGGCAGACCCAACAAGATTCTCCCTCACACACTCCCTCCATCCGCCACCCGGAGACAGGGAATTTCAGAGTCGCAGGGTTTCCCCATTCACTGTACAGATGGAAAGACTCAAGGCTAGAAAGGGGAAGTGACCTCGCTCCCTCTTTCCAAAGGAGTGGGAGTGGTGCCCCTAGAACCAGCTGCGACTGGCCCCCTCCAGGCAGGGCGTGAGGATGGCAATTCCAACAGGCCCTTGGGCCTCTGGTGTTCCCCACGGTGCAGGGGGATGACAAGGTGTTCCGCCGCGCGCCCTCCTGGAGGAAGCGCTTCCGGCCGCGGGAGCACCACGGTGGCGGCGGCATGCTCAGCGCCTCGGCGGAGACCCTCCCGGCGGGCTTCCGTGTGTCCACCCTGGGGTCCCTGCAGCCCCCACCGGCCCCGCCAAAGAAGATCATGCCTGAAGGTGAGTAACAGGCGAGCTGGGCATGGCCGAGGCCCAGCCGAGTGCGGGCTCCTTCCTGGCACCCTGGGGCCGGGCCAGGTGGAGAGGGGCGAGGCCGAGGCTGGTGCCCCGCGCTCTCGGGCTGCCGCTGCACTAACGCCCCGCGGGGAGCGTGTGCGCGCACTAACCCGCCGCTCTGTGTGTTCTCCCGCGGCTGCCGACTTCTCCCAGCCGGGACGGCGGGGGCGCAGAGACTGGAGACCTCCACGGTTCGGACCTACTCCTGCTGACCCCCCACCCTCCCGCCCGGGGTCTGACGGGGGGGTGTGCCCGTGGCTCGGGGTAAGTGGGCCAGGCCCAGGGACGCAGGCACCTTGCTGCTGGCCCTCGGCCCCACGCACCTGCCTTTGGCTGCCGGCCTGGCCCTGCCGCTCCAGCCCCGCTTACCAGCACTGCCCGGCTTGTCCCTTCCTGCTTCGTCTGGCCCGGGGCACTTTGCGCTTGGAGCACGCTGCATTGCCGCTGCCGCACACATCCTGCAACCTGTCTCACAGTGTGATGCCTGTCTCTCTCTCTCCCTCAGCTCACTCCCACTATCTCTACGGACACATGCTCTCCGCCTTCCGGGACTAGCCACGGCCCCCAGGGCTGGCTTCCTTCTTCTGGGTTTCACAGGCTCTACTGGCCCTGACCCCTCCTGCTCGTTCCCCTTCCTTCCGCGGCTCCTAGTCTCGTCCGTGACTTTACGGTTGCCCTGGATCTCAGAATATATTCGTCCACCCCCTCGGCACCCCACTACCCAGAGTCCCACCGTGTGTCCATTGTAAGTCTGGTGGGTGTGGCTGGGGTCTCCTGGTATTGTGGAGGCACCCAGGTTGTCCACACTTGGGATTCTGGGGGAAGGAGAGAAGGGGCTCCCAGGGTGGATGTGAAGCCACCCTTCCTCTTCTGGACCCAGTCTGGTCTGCACCGCAGCCTCCACCAAGACCAGGATCCTGGGCCACGGGCTGGGATGATCCTTCTAAGAAAGGGTCATTTCAGACGCAGCCCTGTTTGGGCTATTCAACCTTAGGGTCTCTTTCCACGTCTGGCTGTGCCAAATGGTTTGGCAGCTGGTTTTGGCATCCCCAGCATCATCACTCTCCCAACCCATCACCATGACTGCGGTTCCTGTCCCCATTCTCTTGGGGACAGGGAGGGACTGGGAAGGGCTACTGAAGACCCCATTCTCCCGCAGGATGGTGAGGCTGGGAGGAGGAAGACTGAGGTAGAGATTCCAGGCCCTGGCATAAGCTGAATCCCAAATGTGGGTTTGGGAAGAACCAGAGAGAAATGGATCCCTGAGCTCTGAGCCAAGGGTGAGGATGGGGAAACTCTAAGCCCCTGCCCAATAAGAGGCGCAGGCAGACCAGCCAGAGAGAAAGCCGATGGCCTCTGGGTAGCCTTAAGCCCAAAGGGCAGGGGGAATGTCCCCTGCCCCAACCATCGGGTGGAGCTTCTGCTGGGCTGTGGGGAAGGGAGGTTGTGTGGATCTTGACTCTGGGGCAGAACAGATCTAACCATGCATTGCTAGCTCTGCTCCCAGCATCCCTTTCCCTTCTCTCCTCCTCTGCCTCACTTTAGTAATCCCAGCCCTATAAAAATGAACATGATGGGTGGATGGAATATACATTGACCCTAAAGTCAAGTCTGGGGAAAAGGCAGACTGAGGCCTCCTTTCTCTGACCTCCCAGGAAGAAAATAGTTTCTCCTACAGTGATTCATGTCCCAGATTCAGGAAAACCAATGTTGGTGAAGTCAGCCACTCTCCTGCTTGTCCCCACATCACCTAACCCTCATCCAGAGCTCTTTTGGTGTATAGGGACTGCCTCCTCCTGGAATTCCTAAGATCCACCCAGCTTCCACCATTTTCATTGCTTTCCCCAGCAGCATGGTGGGAACCTGAGCTGAGGGATACAGGTCCTGTTTTGGTAGGAATATTATTCCCAAGAAACACCCCCTCCTCACCTACTCTCTCATCCTACCTAGGTGCCTGAAAATGTTCAAGACTTATGTTCAGGGTGGGATGATGGAACCTAGGGCTTCATCAAAGTGAGAGGAAAGGAAAAGCATCTGGCACGTGTTTCTTGGAGAGGGGCCAGTGCAGTGCCATCCTGCAGGTGGCTGGAGCAGCTGCATTGCAACCTGATCACCTTGAGTTCTGAGCAGGGGCTAGGCTTGCAGGTGAGATAATGGGCCAGGGCACCCAGTCCAGAAGGAGCAATGGCACCTGGGCAGTGCCAGGGCTTAGAGCCTGCTGCTCCTTTTCAGTAGAGGAGAGGCTCATCAGTGGTGTGGTGGGGTGGGCTCTCCCCTAGGCTTGGGCAAGGCAGCCACTTGCCCTTGCTCTCCCTTAGTGTTCCCTGGCCTCCCTGCCATCAGGTTGCTGGGAGTGGAGATGGAGGGATTATTGTGCAGAAAATGAGTTGGATGGAGATAAAGAACTCCCATCCCTGCATAATGGATGTTAAGATGATGGAGATTCCTAAGATTGGTGGAGTTGGGCAATGCACAGCCATCTGACTCCTTCAGGGTGCTCTTGATGGGCTGGCTGTATGGGAGACTCAGTCCCAGCCTCTCTCCTCTACAATTCCTGCCACTGTTGGCCATGTTGTAAGGCAGTAGCTGTGCCAGGATAGCTGGGTCCATTCAGAGCACCCTGAGAAGTATTGCAGGGAGGTGTTAAGAAGAGAAATCTGAAGAAATCTGTGCAAACAGTGATGGAAGGCTGTTGTCTTGGTGTATCCCTTGCCTCATAGTCAATATATTTTTTTCTTTGGCGAGTCACCAGTGACCCGAGCCCTCCACACCAGCCTCCTGTATCTCATCAGGTCCCTTCTCAGTACTGTACTTGCTCAGTGCATCAGGAATGGGTGTATGGGTGTGTGTGGATGTGAGTGTGGGTGTGTACGTACTAATAAACAACCTGGTTTTAAGATAATGTACAAATGGCCTCCAGTCTTTTTTTTTTTTTTTTTTTTTAAACTCTGAACTCACCTGAGATTTCCAGCTGCTTTCACAGTCGTAAAGGCTGCTGTACTCTGGGAAGGAAATATACAATTTTCAGAACTTACAGTCAATAACTGTCTGTTTATGTAAGCACAGGATTGATAGATTAATGTTTGGGTTACATGTGCCCAGTGGGTAAAGGACCAGATAAGGAGAGAGGAGCCTGGTGTCTTCTTTCGTCTCTCTCACCTGGTCAGGCTGTCACCCTTTCCCGCTGCTCCTGGAGTTCCTTCTCCTGAATGCCCCTTGGTCACATCACTCCACTGTTCCCACTTTCAGCAGCTCCAAGCACCTCTAGCTCAGAGTTGCAGTTCCTCCTCAGTGTGGCCTAAGAAGCCATTCATGACTTGGCTCCTTCACCTCTCCTCCTCCCACCAGTCCCCAGTCCACCTAACTCAGAAACATGGTGTCCACCCAACCCCGTCACCAGAAGGCAGCACGACTGCTTCTGTCCTTACCGTTGTAGTTTTGAGCTGACAAGACCACTTCAGGCATCACTGGGGAGGCATCACCTGCCTTTCCCCAGCAGAACTAGTTAACCAGCAACCTCTGCTCTCCGGACACTCTGCACACTGCACAGGTTGGGCAGTGATTGCCTCCCACGCTGGACTGCGAGTTCCCTCCTTTGGGGCAGCCTCATTGATCTCTGCACCCCTAGGTGTATATCCTCGAATGAATAAATGCACCAGCCTTCTCTCAGAGGGTTGTATAAGGATTAATATTAGTAAAAGCTAAAAATTACTGAGTAATATTGTTTGCCAGACACTATTCTAAGCATAGTAAATATATTAACTCATGAATCCTCACAACTCTGATATATTCTTAGTATTTTATAGAACAGGACATTTTAAGACTAAGATAATACAACTGGTAAGAGACAGATGTGGATCTCAAACCTAGGCCTTCTTGACTCCGGTGCCTTGTCCTTAACTATGATATGTGTGTTCAAACTCCTGACCCAGAGCCAGGAGTTTTTGTCTTTGTTTTTTTCATTAGGAGTAGCATGATGAAAAGGAATGCTTATCAAATGTTGCTATCTTCTCTTTTAAGTGAACTCAAGCCCCTGTCCCTCAACAAGCCTTCCCAAGCTGCCCAGCTCCCTTTTGCTGACTCCTTTGTGTGTACAACTCACGTGGTCTTTGGCTGCTATGAATCTTCGGGGGGCCGTGTTTCCCCTGTTCCCATGAGTGGTGAACTCCCCTTTGTGTAGCACAGTGCACCCTGCATCCTTGTGTCCTCTTTAAGGCTGATGGTGCCCCAAACATGGATGGAACAAGGACAGCAGAGTCCATGGGCACAAGTGACAGGAGGGAGTGGGACAAGGCACCCTGGACACAGCCCAGGGAGGGAAAACAGAGGTGAGGGAAGGTACTGGCCCTGTGCCTACAGGCCTCTGGGAGTCCCTTGCTACCCTCTCCAGGATCAAAGGTAAAATTGATGAGCCTTGGTGACTGGCTAGCCATGGGAATGAGATCTTCACTGGAGGGATCCAGGAAAACTATGACTTCGTTGTGCTGCCTTCCACTGGGACAGGGGATATAGACGGAGCTGACTTATGTGGAAATGGGAGTTTGATTTTGGACATGCTGGGCTTAAGGTGAGAACTGGACATCATGGTTCCATCCGCACTTGTACGGAAGAAGAATCTAGGTGTCTTTCCTTGAACCCTTTCCTTTGCTCCCTCTAGGAATGTTCCAAGCATTGAGGGGCCAGGTGCCTGGATCCACGTGGGGACCTGTGGCTGAGGGGGACAGGGATGAGGCACAGCCAGAATCGTGGAGGGGCTGTGATTGGAGTTCCCACTCAGGACTGGGTTGAGCTTCCTTAGCCAAGATCCCGGCTCAACCTGAAGTCTTCCAGGCCCACCCTCAGGCTTTTCTGCCCCAGCCTGGGGTCCAGAAGCCCGGGGAAGCCCAAGAAACCTAACATGTTGGGGTGGCGTTTTATCCAGGAAACAGATACCTGAGCTGAGGGGTATCTTTTCCTCTCACCCTCTGCCATCCCTCCGCCGCCTCCCTCTCCAGTTGATCCACCCTGTCTACACCTGCAGCACTTAAGAAGGTTTTCCAGTCTACCAAATAAATTACTCTGAGAGGTTAGATCCCTAGGAATGCTTATCGGAGTGCCACAAGTAGCACTGTAAGCATTCAGTTCACACCAATTATCTCAGCACTCTAAGAAGTTCCTATTTACACACCAACAATTGGTATGCCCATTTTAAGTAATATTTATCTTTTCATTGTAGTGGATTCCCTAAAGTCCATTATTAGGCAACATTTGATTAACCCGGTTTGATTTATTGTAGGTGCTTCCAACTAAAGAACACATTTGAGCTAATCTCCCTAAAGAACTCCAACTCATTATTCATTAATTGGAGTCTTCTCTGTAATTCTGTTGTGAAGATTAAGCATTTGCTAATTTAAGGAAGTCCCCATGTGGCCGGGCGCAGTGGTTCACGCCTGTAATCCCAGCACTTTGGGAGGCCGAGGTGGGTGGATCACGAGGTCAGGAGATCGAGACCATCCTGGCTAACATGGTGAAACCCCGTTTCTACTAATAATACAAAAAAATTAGCCGGGCGTGGTGGCGGGCGCCTGTAGTCCCAGCTACTCGACAGGCTGAGGCAGGAGAATGGTGTGAATCCGGGAGGCGGAGCTTGAAGTGAGCCCAGATTGCGCCACTGCACTCCAGCCTGGGCGACAGAGCGAGACTCCGTTAAAAAAAAAAAAAAAAAAAAAAAAAATTCCTTCTGCTTTGATAACAATTGTTTATTCTGTGAAAATAACGAGTGAGGCTGGGCTCCTGCTTAGCAGAGTTTGCCATTCACACCTGTGGAATTCTAGCAAATTGTTTTTCCCTTAAGAACTTAAAGACATGAAAAAGTAAGTAGACAGTGACTACACTCCACCATGGTAGGGATCTATTGCATCCAGTGTCATTGCTGAGGACTGTTCATTCTTTCCAGAGTCTGAGTGAGACCCTCACTGTCTAATTGTCAGAATAACTGAAGAGGAGTAGACTTAAAAAAATATATCCAGCAGCCCCAGAACCTGTGCTTCAGCAGAGCTGAGTGCCTTCCTTGGCCAGCCCTTCTTATCCCAGTGAGGAGGAGGGTGAGGGATGGGCAGGTCACAGCTGCAGGTGACAGGGCTGTTTCCACGCTAGGAGCGCGGGAGGTGCCAGAGGCAGAGGAAATGAACTTGAGGGGAGAAGATCCTCCATGAATGTGTTCTGAGAATTTTTAGGGGGTAATAAAGGAGTAAATGTAGATTCCAGAGCCAAGGCATTGCAGCCAGCCCCGTTGCCCTCCTCATTCTCCAGGGCAGTGAATCAGAGCTAAGAGTCATGGAAATGACCTTGGTCTTCCTCTCCAGCCCCTCCAAGGGGGAAAGACTAAACTCAGTGACACCAAGTTGAAAAGAAGAAAATCCCACCAATGGGAGCAGAGGAGGCCAATTTGGAATTCCCAATAAGCCCTGCCTGACTGGTTTGGGACAAGCAGGCAGTGGGGGAGACCCTCCCTTCTGCACCCTCACCTGAGTTCTGTGAGTCTCCAGAGGCTTCTTCTGATTGTTTTCCTTAGGCAGAGTTTCTGAAGAAACTCGGGGGGCACAGTGTTAACTCTCCTCTGCAGCAGTAAGGTCAGGAGGGTGGGTGTGGGAGAGATGGCCCAGCTGAGCTCAGAGCGGGTGCAGGGGGGTCGCTAGAGCCTCAGGCAACACTGGGTTAAGTCCATTGTCAAGGGCCCCAAAGAATTAAGTAGGGCTGGAATGTACCATGCTCTGAATCCCTGCTTTGGTAATGATTCTGAAACTTATAATTTGCAGTAAATCAGATGAACTTAGCCCCAAGCTGTTGGAATTAATAACGTTTTCAGTAGATGTCCATGTTCCGTTTGAATTCTAGCTCCTGTTAACTCCCCAGTTAATCCTTGTGTAATGTCTAACCAAAAATCTCTGTTCTCAATTTCCCACCCACCTTCTACCCTCAGGAAGCTAATATTTGAAAAATAGCACCCCAAATGAAGAGAACCCAGCTTCTCTTCAATTGTTCTTTGTGGACCCCTTTACCCTCCCCGAGCTAAATCTGAATCTCCTTCATGCTGGGAGCTGCAAGCAGGAACCACAATCCCCTTCTGCCTGGAGGGAATGGAGGAGAATGGGGAGGGGCCATGCTATTTGGCCAGCAAGGAAATGACAGTGTCTGACCCCACTGCCTTCCTCACCTCCCACTTCTCTATAGGGCTCCTGGTATTGTGACACCAGGGCAGAGGTGGGGGACTAGGGAAGGGAAACCACAACTTCTAGCTCTGCACCCTGGCTGTAGGCTGAGCACTGGGCTCACGAATTGCTCAATTAACTGAAACCGGAGGACCTGTTGGGACATGACGCAGAGCACAGCAGCCTGTGAGCAATGGCTGTGAAGTATAGTCATAGCCAGTTGTCCTCCGTGTCCCACAAGGATGTCTGTGGAATCTGGTCTCCACCTAGACGGAGGTCTAGACATGCTCGACTTCCTTCCTGATGGTGAAAAGAGCCGGGGTCCCCAGTGCCTAGTGACCACCAGCAAGATGAGGCCCTCAGCGCTGTGGAGCCCCGCCCACTAGGGTGTGTCTGGACTGCTCAGCGGGAGGGGGCAGGGCTGTCAGTCATTTCCCTCCCTCTGCATCATCACCGACACTCTTCTGGCAACCAGTCTTTATTCATTTTTTAAAAAAGGAAATCCAAATAAGTTAGCAAAAAAAAAAAAAAAATACAAAACAATGGCAAAACCACACGATGCTTAGTTAACAAAAGAAATCACCCCCAAGAGCCCCCAACCCCCTTTCCCTGCCTGTCCCCGGCAACTTCAGCACAGGAGACCTTGGTCAGATGGCAGCTTTACAAACAACACACAAAACAAAACAAAACATAAAACCACTGGAAGGTTCCCAATA